CGCATCTCAGGCATCACCGAGGTCCACGCTCATCATTCCTCAGTAAAAAACTGCCACAACACAAGGTTTAATGTCGATGGCGGCGAGACAGACAAACGGACAAGTTTTTTTTCTTTATAGATACTGCCCAGCAACCTTCCACAATATCTTTCATTGAATACGTGATCTGACAACCGCTTGTACCTGCTGTTTCTGAGGCAACATTAAGAAATTAAACCCTTGATTTTTGTTTCTTTCATAGCCAGTAAGGGCTGCATTCCAGTTTCAAGCGCATGGCTATAGTGGAAGAGACTGGAAACCATATGACTTAGTGCAGGTCTGATCATCGCATGTCTCACAGTGACTACTTCGGGAAAAACTGCCTTGCAGATTGTTCCTCTCCCTGAGGTCTGGTTAGTCACTAGGTGGCTTTGAGTAATAATAGAAAATACCTTTTACATTTCAATATTATCTTCTGCAAAATAAGCACACAGCAACATACTTACCCTTAGAGAATCCCTGTATGCAAATATCAGTATATTACATACAAAAACTTGCTTTATCATTCCCCTGGCCCAGCGATGAACACACTTTTAACTACAGAGCACTCTGGGCAGTCCCATACCAAAACTACCGTGGTTTAGGCTGCAGACAGTTTCTCACACACTTGTTTATTTCTTGCAAGACCAAGCTGGGGAGATTATGGAGTTTTTTTGCAACATTTTTATTAACAATACGCAGGACTCAAGTTCCCTCACCTTCCTGAGCCACACACCAGGGCGAAGCAGTTAGCTTCTTCCCTGGGCTGAGGGAAGAGGGTGGAACAACTGCACACTGCAGCACAAACTGGTACAGATAAGGGGCTGACGACTAACAGCGCGAAAATTAACTCTTCACAGTCAGTCGCCGGGCAACTTGGACAGAAAAGGACCAGGAAGCAAAAGCAGAGGTTCTGAAATCCTCAGCGCAAGTCAGGGCGCAGACCCGTGGGCGCGCTGGCCGTGAGGTACACGGGCAGCTGGGTGCCGGCCGCAGCACCACGCTTGGCACTCTGCTCCGAACCCCCGCTGAGGATGACGCGTCTGCGGGGTGAAAGAAACCTGTATCACTGCAGCCACCACCAACTGTCTCCAGAAGATCAGAAGCCCAAGAAAAGTTACAACTCATATAGACTCCCCGGAGGGCCAGAAAGGAATACCTCTCCACAGTCAGCTCTTCATTGATGATAAATGACATCTATTTATGTAAAACCAAAGGCTCAGACAAGGAATTGAAGAAGATAGAGGGCTACAGCTTAGCTAAAAGATGGGACACAAATAAAGCCCAGGAGATCAAGCACCCTACAAGTCCGCAGCAGCCCACTGAAGGGATTTGGCGAAGTGACCCAAACAATATGCAGCACAGAATGAAGAGTTCCTGACCTGGCCCACAGCTCTGCTCTCTGATGGCTACACCAAAACTATGCTCCTCTCTTAGCGAGACCGATTAGGAAGCCTGTGGGGTAAAATAAAGAGCTGTCTGGTTTCTGCTTTTTGCACTCACTTGAAATTCCTTTTGTCAAAGTCTTCAACAGCAGCTCTCTAGCTTTCAAATCTTTTCCCCTCCTGGATGTCGTTCCTCATCCCCTCTAAACTCTGCAGTTACTACTTTGGTGTATCCTCCCAAGCCCTCCACAGTCTCTAGCACTGCCACAAGCTTTTCTTTCTTCCTTCCTGACGTTACTCGGAATCTTATCTTTCAGCAGCTTACACCTCTTCAGCCAAAGTTTCCTGCCAGCTGCTCGCAGACGTGCCCTATTGCCACAGACCATCTTCCTGCGCAGGCTGAGCTCTCGGCCGGTGCGCCGGTATGCTGGCAGAGGGGGACTACCAGCTCGGAGGCAGCCCGCTGCCCCCAGCCCTCCCCAAAAAGCCATCTTCCGCACAGCCCCCCAGCGCCCAGAGCTAGCACAGCCAGCCCGTATTCCGCACAGGTCCGTAACCTCCATCTCCCTCTCTGCCCTGAAGCGTTAGATCTTCACAATGTCTCACAACTTCTCCTGCTTTGTCTCTATCTCTATGTGATACAGTATTTCTTGTCCACTTTTACACAAATAAAACTCCGTCATCATCATCACCATCACCCTCTGGTTTTCCAAACACTCATTTCTCTTGAAACGCAGTCTTTAACTTATTTTTCCACCCAGTGTGCTGCTGCAGGGATCATTATTCTGAGCCACAGCTACAACCACATCGCTGCTCTGTCTGTCCCTCCACTTCCTGCTGCACCAAAGGCTCCGGACTTTCAAGGCCTGTTGTAGTCCCCCTCCACTTGCCCCTACACCCCCTCCAACTATTTCAAAGGACTGGTTTCATCTCTGGCCAAACAATGATACCAGGCTCCGCTGCCTCCTTGTTCTGAGTTTGACCAAGTGCGTACTGCGAGGGCAGACTTTCTGGAGGGACATTCGCTGACTGTTCTACTTCAAATCTCTTTCGCAAGATCTCCTTTGCCAAGCAGCTGGGAGCAACGGGCTTCTGACCAACTGCGACCACCGACCATCACGCTGGTCTGGAGGGCCCTGCTGTCTCCCCCTGCTCCCGCACCCAGGCGTGCTCCTGCTGCCCGACGCGAACCCGAAACCCCCCTCAGCCAAGGGCTGCGGTTTTGCCCTCTGCTCACACAGCTCCCGGCACGCCGGGGTCCTCACCCACGGCAAACGCTCCTCCACGGGACAGCGACGAAGAGGATGGCCAAGGCTAACAGCAAGGGTGGCTACTCTGGGTGGCTTTAGGCCGGGCGGGGCACACGGCCACCACGACTCGCGCTGGGATCGAAAACCAGCAGGCAGCGCAGGGCTCAGACGAAACGCGACGATGCGCAGTAGGGACAGGCCGGTGCTCCCGCATGGGCCCATCCCC